GATACATGTCCGTTCTCTATTCTTCTAGAATTAACAGAAGCAGCACAAGGGGGGGCCAGGTCCCCACGAGGCAACCCCCAGCGAAAGGCTCACCCTGGGCACAACCATCCTAAGGCCATTAGTTCAGCTCAAAAAAGCAAAACAAAAGTCTTCCTCTCCCTGAAGGGGACCTCGTCCGAGAACGCACACGGGTGAGCTCCTCCAAATTAGGGAACACAGAACCCCGAACTCTCCATGTCCCAGGGGTTCAGGGGGGCCCGCTGTGGCCCTCGGGCCCCCATGTGGGCCTCAGTTTCTCTGCAACACTGCAGCGGAGGACGGTGAAGTTCCCAAATGCTTTTTACGTCTTTAAGTGGCTGGGAAAAAAAGATCAAAAGCACAGGGGTATTTCGAGACACAGAAATGAGGAGGAATTCAAACATGACACGGGAGCCCCGTCATCGGAGGGGTCAGGGCCAGGCTGGTTTAAGGAGGGTGCACGGGAGCTGTGGGGCCCGGGGAGCCAGGAATATTCACTCTTTGGCAGACAAAGGGGGGCTGGTTCCCGCCCCAGCCGCAGCGCTTGGGGTGCAGATGTCTGGACCTGAGATATAATAACAGTAACTGGGATTGTTCATTGAGAAGCTGTGCCTCCCCACAGTAGAATTCTGGAAGCCCCCCAAATCTCTCCCAAGGGGGGAAATAAGCAACGGAGTAAGAGAACCTGGAAATAAGAATCAAACGACCATCGTTCGCGGCAGGAGGACCAGCTGCAATACAGGGTGTTTGCTTCAGGGCCTGATTTCAGACACAACACAGCGGTGGTGGGAGGGACCCCGCATCTCCACAGCCGAGACCCCCCACCCCCCGAGAACACCCTCCCCGCCAGATCACCCTCGGATCACGGGAGGGACGAAGGAAACAGGTCTGCATTTCATCCACGTGGGACAGACTTTGTCACAAGCAGAGAGGCGATTGGGCTGGGGTTCGGGGGAGCACCCTGGTCCCCGGCGTCCCCACCTCCAGACCCGCTCCCTGTGCACGGCATTCAGGGCAATCTGAGCCTCACGTTCAAGAACCGGGGGCCCCTGGCACGCCCCGGTGTCTGCCTTTGTGCCGTTTGCCCGTTTGTTGGGAGCAGACGGACCACCTCCACCAGGTAGTCCCCCGGGGTTCTTTACTCAGCCTCTGGGGCCAGCGACGGAAACGGTTACAAGAATCTACGTCTGCAGAGAAGAGGAAAAGAAAACCCAGCTGAGAAAGGGGGATCGGACACACCAATCGGAGCATTTAAAACACCCAGTCTCGGGGGTGGGGTGGGGGGACTTTTACCCTAAAGAGAGGGGATCCCGGCACCAGAGATAAAATAAACACACACACGCGGTGTGGAGGAGGCAGAGGTCCGTGAAGACTCAGATAAGACGAGTCTGGAGCGATAGGCAGTGGCCGATGTCTTCATAGTGACTGACCCACAGGGAGGGAGCAGGACTCACGGACACAGCCCGGTGACAGCCGGTGGGAGGGGGCTGGGGAGGAGGTGGCAGGGGAATAAAGGGGGGCGGAAGGAGGTCGATTGGGGTAAACACACAATGCAATGAACAGATGATGCTTACAGCACTGGGCACCTGAGACCTGCACGGATTTGTGAACCAGAATCACCCAATAAATTCAATAAAAAGGAAAAATCTAACAAGGCCCCCATAACACCGGTGATGCTGCCTTCGAAACACGGACGGGCGTCAGAAACGACGGTAGAAACAGAGACCGTCTGAAATCCAGTCGTCCCTCGTCTGTCGCGGTGAATCCGGTGCAGACTCTCGCGGTGGCACCTGGCGTTGAGGGGCCCCTGGGGCGCTCGCATGCACGGGCCTACCGTCCACACGGACGGCCCTTTTCATTGTAACAGGGTGTATAGTTGGCTCAGACATCCGAGCGCGCGGTGTATCATTTTCATTGTCTCGATCGACGTGTTAATGGATATATTTGAAAAAATCACCATGGGGCAAAGCCGCAGCAGTCGAAGCGCGAAGTGGGGAGGGGCAGCTGTCAGTGGAGCCGGAGATGTGTCCCCGAGGAGCTGCCTGGCCGGGCTGATGCTCCAAACCTCTGGACGTTAACAGACAAAGAGCCTGGGCTCCCTGGGGTCCCCACGAGCCGTCTGCAGAGATGACGGGAGCAGGTCTGAGGACGACGGGACGGGGACCCCAGGACGAAGATTAAACGCCTTGTTCGGAGTCTGCGCCTCGGGGTCCTGGTATCTGCACCCGGAGCAACGCCTTCCTGCGGGGACGTCCCTGTCCCGTCCTGTCTCCCAGACGCCCATCGCCTGTCTCCTCATCGCCACCCCGTCTGGGCCCCGCCTGCTGCCCACAGCTGTCCTTCCCGACCCCAGAGACACGCTGCCGCCTGTCACCTTGAACGGCCTTTTTATTTTTAGGTGAACACCTGTCTCACTCAATACAAACAGAGAATGCTATGGAATCCTTGGGGTATCGGGACCCAAAATCGACCCATTTAAACTCAAAATGGTGGTGAACAAAAATTAAAGTTATTAGTGATCTCCGCCAACCCCCCCATCACTGCACGGGAAGAGTGACACCGGAGAGCTTGTCAGCTGGGGACAGTCCGCGTGTCTGTTTTTCTCTGGGTATCTTTTTTTTTTTCGTTTTAAATTTTATTTTATTTTATTTATTTTTTGTTTATTGATTTCAGGGAGACAGAGATGGAGATAGAAACATGGATGAGAGAGAACATCGATTGTCCGCCCCCTGCACACCCCCCACTGGGGATCAGGCCCCCAACCTGGGCATGTGTCCTGACCGGGAATTGGACCAGCGACCTCTTGGTGCAGGGTCAACGCTCCACCCCTGAGCCACCCCGGCCGGGCTGGGTGTTTTGTTTTCTTAAGAGGAAGGGGACCCCAGACGGTGGGCGCAGTGGGTGGGAGCGAGACCCCGTACACCGAAGGGCTACCGACCCGATTCCCAGTCAGGGCACATACGCTTCCCCATGGGTATTTCTGTCTGTCCGGCTGTTTCTCTCTCTTTGTCCCTCCCTCTGTCTAAACATGTAATCGGGGGAGGATGTAGAAAAGAAAAAGGAAGGGGAGAGAAAGACGTCCTTGCCCTTGTCATCGGTGCACACTCACCCCCTTGGGGAGGATAACCATTCACCCCGTCACCCGCCCACTCGGAGGTGTGCAAGCGGCTATGAAACCAACCAACCGACAGACACGTGTGCTCGTGGTGGCCGGCTTGTCCCAGATGCCGGCGCTGGACACGTGTCAGACAGATACACGGAGACCTTCGTATCTTACACATCCACGGAGCGGGAGCCCCACGGCAAAGTGTCCAATGAGGGGAACAGGACCCGGACACGGGCTGGCCACACGGGCTTGAAAACAGAAAAAGCCGGCCCTGGCCGGGTAGCTCCGTTGGCGAGAGCATCACTCCGATACCCCAAGGCTTGGGTTCGCCCCTGGGCAGGGCGCACGCAAGAGCAACCCCCAAATGCATGCACGACAGAACAGCAGGTCGATGTTTCTCTCTCTCTCAAATCAAGAATTAAAAAAAAAAAACACACAAAAATACGAGGCACCTGGTTTCATGCCAAGGGACAGGAAGTCAAGGATTGTAAGAAAAATCAAAGGGGCTGTGTGTGGCCCGGAGAGGGGAGAACAAGGGGCTGGGGTGGCCCTCCGCAGGCAGGCTTTCGTGGGGACAGGCAGAGCTCGGGGTCCCTCACCGACCTTCGAGGACAAAGCTCGTGTGAACTTCTGTTCCACCCTTGCTTTTCTGAAAACAGCCACCGCCACGTCATAAAGGTGAAAGTCTGCCCGGCTCGACGCCCCAGGAACTCACCAAATGTACCCCCTACACCTCCATGAAGCGACAGACGTCAGGGGCCCGGGCTCAGTATCGGGAGCAGCTGAGATGGGTTCTCTACACCGCTGACTCCTCACCGACCGTCTGAACACGCGCCGGGCATCACAGACGGGGCCCGCACCCCTGGAAAAGAGGCCCCTCCTTTAAGCAATGCTCGTTAAACACACATGTGAGGGATGGAAACGGCCTTTCTGTGCCCCCCCCCCAAAGCAGAAGCAACCCACAGTCACCCCTGAAGGTAAAACTCTCTGTGGGGATATTTTAAACCTCATTCGGCCCCTGGTGCCGAGTTGAAGAGAGAGAATACTCAGGAGGAATTTTCCATCATCAAATATCAGTCAGGTCACGGACACAGGAGGTTCCTCGTATCGGAGCGCAGGGCGTGCGACGGGGGGTCGTTTTCTCACCTGGAGGAACAGTGATTCTCGGGAAGCCAAAGCTTTGAGGCGTCAGACACACGAAGAAAAGCCCCCAAAGCATCCAAGGCTGAGCAGGCTCGTGCCCACCAAGGGGATCGTGCAAGCGGACAAGTGGACGCGTGAGTAGCAGGAGACAGAACACGGCGAACCCGGCTTTCCTGCTTTTTATTCTTTTATTTTTATTTATTTTTTTATCCTCACCCAAGGACATTTTTCCATTTTTTATTCAGACAGAGCGGGAGGGAGGGAGAGGAAGAGAGAAACATCGATGTGAAAGGGACACATCGAGTGGCCGCCACCCACACGACCAACCAGGGCCGGGGACACACTGCAACCGAGGTACATGCCCTTAGCGGGAACCGAACCCGGGTCTCTCTGGACCACAGGCCGATGCTCTAACCACTGAACTAACCAGCCAGGGCGGTCCTGCTAATTTTTAATATGCGCTTCCACGGTGCGTCTCTTTCAACAGCTTTTACTCGGCGTCAAATGTGACAGCGCCTTCACAACAGGGAGTTGGGATCAAGGACGCCTCATGGGAGTCCCAGACACGAGGTCCCCACTCAAAGGGTTTCCCTTCCCCAAAGACGGCGCAGGTGCCTCCGGCGGTGCTGCAGGAACAGAGAAACCGGTCTCACGCTCCTGCACCATCGCTGTGACCTTTCGTGGCTTTGCCCCGGACTCCGTGACAGCGGCCGTGAGGAGCGTGTGTGTGTGTGGGGGGGAGATTCACGAACTGGAAAGTGGCTTATGTTGTCCCTGTTCTGTTGGGCAGATGAGCATTGAAAATTCGGAGCGAGGGGTCCCGGATGCAGACGTCGGGGGCTTCTGCAGGTCACCGTAAGTTGGTTTCACTGGAAGCCCAGTTGGGCTGCCGAGGAAAAGTCTCGTTCCACCAGAAAGGCAGGTTCCTGGAAGTCCTGTCTGTCTTTTTCTTATTTCCCTCCTTTTCACAACCCGACACAGGATCACTATTATTGTTTTAATAGGTTTTTATTTATTTTTTTAGAGAGGAAGGGAGAGAGAGAAACATCCCTCGGCCGCCTCCTGCACGCCCCCCAACCCGGGCCTGTGCGCTGACCGGGAATCGAACCAACACCTCTCAGTCCGTGGGATGACGCTCAGTCCACAGAGCCACACGAGGCCGGGCCACGGGGGTCAGTGTTTATTGCAAAGCGTGACACCCCACGCCTCATCCCGGGCCCCCTGCTACACAAAGCCACTGTCCCTGATGCCAAAGAAGCCACTCTGGAGTGCGTCCCCGAACGTGAACACCTGCTCGTGGTCCAGACCCCACTCCCCCTCGTCCTCGTCCTCCAGCTCGGGCCCCGCCCCGCCGCGGGTGTTCTCGTAGAGGAACACCTGCTCGTCCACGTGCGCGGGTGCCAGCCGGTTCCTCTTGGCGCTGACCACATTGCCCGATGACCCGAAGAGGCGCTCGGGCGGCACGCACGTGGCCGCCACGCACCAGTACTTCTGCAAGACCTTGGGCAGCACCGGGAACAGCGCCAGGCGGTCCGACCACCACTTGAGCGGGTCCTCGCTGAGACCCAGCACCTTCTGGGACCGGAAGTTGCTCAGCTCCTCCAGCACCTGGGCGTGCCACTCCTCCTGGTCCTCGACGCCCCCCGACTGGCAGAAGATCTCCGCCAGCATGTTGTTGATGACGCTGGCGGGCGGCGGCGGCGTGGACGGCGGCGCCGGCTTCTTCGCCGGGGGCTCCTCGGGCAGCCCGTACAGGTTGTCCTCGGCCGCCTGGTAGCCGCCGTCCTTGACCTTGTTCAGGAGGCCCTTGGCCTCCTCCACCACCCTGTTCTCCACCTGCTGCTTCTCGAAGGCGGACAGGAAGGGCAGCTTCTTGTAGCGGGGGTCCAGGAAGGTGGCCACGTTGAGGAACATGTCGATCTCGGGCGTCTCCTGGTAGGTCTTGGCCAGCTCCTTGGCGATCACCTCCTTGGCCATGCTGATCTCTTTGCAGTCCGTCTCCTTGATGTTGAGCGTGGTGCTGAGGAGCATGTGCAGAAGGGGCTTGACCATGCTGATGGTGGGGTGCTTGGAGGCGGACAGCATCTCGGCCACCTGCTTGAAGGGCTGCAGGAGGTCCACCAGCCCCTCGATGGTGGCCCAGTCGGACGCTTCCAGCATGAGGTGGTGGCTGTTGCTGTCCTCCAAGAGCACGCCGGCGATGACGAACTGCTGCTCCTTGAGCTGCTGCAGCATGGCCAGCGTGCCGCCCCACCAGCACACGCGGTCGCTCAGCAGCATGCGGTTCGGCCGCCGCTGCTGCTTCTGCTTCTCGTACAGCATGTACCTGGCCAGGGCCGACTGCTGGAAGAACTCCACCAGCCGCCGGCACCTCGCCAGCAGCCCGGCCAGCTTGGGCAGCTGCAGGGCCTGCTGGATGCCGGCGTGGAAGGTCTTGCCCAGGCACGGCATGTGCACCGAGATGTCCAGCAGGGAGCAGGCCTTCACGACGTCCCTCCCGCAGTCCGTGGTGGCCCCGGACACCTTGGCGCCGATGCCCCACTCGATGAACGCCTCGTAGAGCACCCGGGTGATGGTCTCCGCCGTGTTCTCGTCCGGCACCTCGAACGTCTTCAGGCAGCGGGAGCTGGGGGACAGGCCGCCGGGGGGCCCGCTGCCCAGGAAGTGGGCGGCCAGCGTGACGTACGTCCTGTTCTGGTTGGGGCTCCTCCAGAGGTCGGTGGAGATGCCGCACCAGGTGGCCTCGGCCAGCTCCTTCAGGACCGCCTCGCGGACAGCGGCGTAGCGCTCGGGCAGGGCTTTGCTGCAGAAAAACTTCCTCCCGGGCAGCTCGTACCAGGGGTTGGCCGTCCTCAGCAGCGCCCGGAACGTGGGCTCATCCACGATGGAGGCGGGGTACAGCCCCTCACAGATGAGACCCAGGACGGCGGCCGTCAGCTCCTGCTGCCTCTTGCCCTCGGGGCCGTACCCGGTTTTGGGGGCCAGCGGGTCCTGCGGGGTGAGCTGCGAGGTCTCCGGCTTCAGCTTGGAGAAGGCGGTGGCGAACGCCTCGCGCATCTGCTCGGTGTTGCTCTTGACGAACTCGCAGAACTCGTCGGGGTGATTCTTCTCCAGGTGGTAGGACAGGTTGGAGGTGTTGCCGGAGTAGGCGATCTGAGCCATGCAGATGCGGCAGTAGATCTTTTTCCACTGCAGAATGCATCCCTCCGCGTCGGTGTCGAAGCCGAAGTACTTCCACACTTTGCTCTTCGCGCGGGGGTGCGCCACCAGCTTCAGGTCGGGCGGGGAGCTGTCCGGGGTTTTCGCCTCCATCGCCTGCGCCACGGCCACCGCTCATTCGTGATCACCTGCTGAGAAGCAGCAACAGAAACAGCGTGAGAAGGGATCCAGGCCCAGGGCGAAGCGTGGCAGGTGCCCAAGCTCCTCTGCGTGGAGACCAGGGGACCCCCGAGCCGCCTCTCCTGGTGCGTGGCCTTGGCAGAGCGGAGGGGACAAAGGTCACGGGCTTCCATCCTGGTCAGTCCTACGTCCGAGGTGACTCCACACGTCTGAGAACATGTGTTTCTTTGGATGTCTCTCGGCTCCTGACGGATGTCTTTCCTCATCTCTGCTGTCCACCGTTCTAGGAGGCCCACCTGTGTGGCACCAGCCCAGGGGCTCATTTTTGGGGAGACCGCGTTCACCAGCTCCCGCCAGCCCAACAAGACCCAACAGCACCTCACGCCTACGTGGAAGCAGCGATGCGCGTCTGTCACGCACGCCGCCTGAGATCGGCTGAAATGCACCCCCCAAAAAAGCAAACGCGAGAGCGGAATTGGGGCCACGCCATCCTCACGTTGGCTGAAGAGGGGTGAAACCTCTTTTTCACGTTTGCAACGCTGCTGTTGGAACGTGCTGTTTCCATTGCATGCGCGTTTCGGGGATCGGGGACGGGGAAGCGTCTCGGGGCGCCGGCGGGTTCTCGATGGTGCCATGTTTCAGAATGCCCCCGTGGGCACTCACACCTGAGATCCACGGTGTGCTCAGCCGGGTCTGGAAGACCTGGGAGCCGGGCCCCGGGCCCCCCTTTGCCGTTCACGCCCACACGCCCTGTCCTGTTGGGCCCCAGCCAAGGCCGGGACACCTAAACAGGGAGCTGCGTTTTTTTTTTTAAAGCTGTGCGTCCCGCGTGTGAGCTTTCAATGCACTGTCCGGCGCTCGGGGGTTCGGCGGAAACCGAGCCAACCAGGAGTTTGCTCAGAGCTGGAGGAATGATCACAGCAAAGCTCGAAAATGACGGCGGTGGGGTGAAGCGTGCGCCCCCCAAATCTGAGCAGAGACACGGACACCGAAGAGAGGCCACGTGGAGACGGAGGAGAGACGGGAGGGACGCGGGGGGCCCAGGAGCCGGAAGAGGCCGGAAGGACCCTCCTGGAGCCTCGGAGGGAGCGCGGCCCTGGACACCCCGTCTCAGACGTCTGCTCCCCAGGACGGAGACGGTGCATGTCTGTGGTTTGAAGACCCTGAACTGTGGTCCGGTTATGGCCCCGCAGAGAGCGAATGCCAGGCCCCACGAGCAAAGTATTTTCACCATCAGAGTTTCAGTAGAGGTCTGTCCAGAGCAGAGTCCCTGGGTCCTTCCCAGCATCTCTGGGGAACCGTCCCCGAGACCCACCCGGGGGTCCACCGTGGTCCTGCCTTTGCTCGCGGCTGAGAGCAGCCGGCTTGTGTCCACTCAGTGGGACCGAAACAAGAAATAAACAACTGAATGGAGAATGAGCTCCCATGCAGGAGGGCCGGGACCCAAAGACGGGGCCTCTGTGTTCCCTCACAATTTCTTTCTTTCTTTTATTTAATTTTGGAGAATATGCCCAGCCGGTGTGGCTCAGTGGTTGAGCATCGACCCTGCACCAAGAGGTCGCCGGTTCGATTCCCGGTCAGGGCACAGGCCCAGGTTGTGGGCCCATCCCCAGTGGGGGGCGTGCAGGAGGCGGCCCATCGATGTTCTCTCTCATCGATGTTTCTACCTCTCTCCCTCTCCCTTCCTCTCTCAAATCAATAAGGAAAAAGTAAATAAATCAATTTTGGAGAATGTAGTTATTTTGCATCTGAACATATTATCTTAGTGGCAATAAGAACATGTGACTTGGCTTGGGATGGTCATTTCAGGTATTTGCTGAAGTATTCTGAACAGAGTTTGAAATGTCTGTTTAATTTCCAGTAGGGGGAATACTGATGTATTAACAAAGGGGGGAAAAAAGCTCACTGGGGGGTCCTCATTTTTTTATTTTATTTATCTTTATTGAAAATATTACAAAGGTCCCACCATTTTCCTGCCACTGAGCCTCTCCACCCCATCCCCCACTGTCCCCGCAGTATTGTCTGTGATCACAGGTTGTGCATACGTGCATGTATGTGCTTTGGTTTATCTCTTCCTGCCCCCCTTCCCTCTCCTTGGGGGTCCTCACCTTCCAGAGTAGGGACCCCTCAGATCCTAAAGTTTGAAAATAATTCCGGCCTCCTGTAACCACAGCTCACATCTGTTCCCAGGTGAAGAAAATCAAGGTGATGTACCTTTCTCTTTATAGGCTTTTGAAAAAAACTCCGTTATTTGCAAACTAGTGTCTCCGCAAACAGCTGTGTACGTGGGCTGACCGGCATATTTTGTGGGCGGATATCGGCGCAGAGGGTGTTGAAGGAACGTCCTGTGCCGTATGGGGTATGGGAACTGGACATGTCTCATCAAGTTTGTCTTTTTTTTTTTTTTTTTTGGTGGTACATGCCCCTAGCGGGAACCGAACCCAGGACTCTCTGGTCCACGGGCCGACGCTCAACCACTGAGCCAAATTGGCCAGGGATCCTTTTTTTTTAATCCTCACCCGAAGACATTTCTGCATTTATCTTCAGATAGAGTGGGAGGGAGAGGGAGGAAGAGAGAAAGAGAGACATTGACGTGAGCGAGACACATCGCGTGGTTGCCACCCGCACGACCCCAATTGGGGCCGGGGACAAACCACAAGCGAGGTACGTGCCCTTAGCGGGAACCGAACCTGAGTCTCTGGTCCGCGGGCCAACGCTCTAACCGCTGAGCCACACTGGCCAGGGCACTTTGTCTGTGTTTCAACACTCACACACGCATGAGGGAAATTTAACTTCTCACAAACCACCTCTTTGTTAATCCAGGTAGGTTCCGGCTTATCACGTGCGACAATTCTCAACAGGTTTTAGGCCAAGGTCTGCCTTACGGTGTCCGCTCAGGATACTGACTGCACTGATTAAAACACATCCGTTGCCTCCTTCTTTGCACAATCTAGGCGGAGTCACGGGGTGTGCCTGCCACATGCACCCAACTTTGAAAACATAGACGCGCTCTCTGCTTCCACTTTCTGCCCCCAAACTGAGATGGGCAATGGGTCCTCTGGGTTACTGGTTAGCTCTGTGCCCAGGGCAAAGGGCAAAGGTTCCTCCTCCCAAAAGTGAAATCCAGGCCCCGGCAAATGAGAAAGAGGTTAAAAGGCACAGGGGAGGGGGTGGAGTGTGGGGAGGGATTGAGCAAGAGAGAGAGAGAGAGAGAGAGAAAGAGAGAGAGAGAGAGAGAGAGAGTCAAGGACATAATTCGCAGTGTCGTGATTTCGGGGGAAGGGGTTGGATGGAGAAGGAAGAGAGGAGGGAGGGTATAAATGGTGACGGAAAAAAATAAAATTGAATCTCTAGGGGACCCAAATTGTATACCTTTTTTTTTTTGTTCTTAATCTTCTCTGGAGGATATTTCTCCATTGATTTTTAGATAGCGTGGGAGGGAGGGATGGGGGAGAGAGAGAAAGAAACATCGATGTGAGAGAGACACATCCATCAGTTACCTCCTGCATGACCCCGACCAGGCTGGGGATCAAACCTGCAACCCTGGTACGTGCCCTTGACTGGGAATCAAACCCGAGACCCTTTGGTCCTCCAGCCAACGGTCTGACGACTGAACCACACCAGTCGGGGCTTTACAGCTTTCTAAGACCTTTATAAAATATGGGACCTTATGTTAAACGTTTATTGGTTGATTGATTGATTTTAGAGACAGAAGGAGAGAGAGAAACAACCATGAGAGAGAACATCAGTGGGCTGCCTCCTGCATGCCCCCCTCTGGGGATCGGGCCCACAACCTGAGCATGTGCCCTGACCGGGAATCGAACTGGTGACCTCTTGGTGCCTGGGGCAACGCTCAGTGACTAAGCCACACCGGCCGGACTTGGTAAATGTTTAGTTATGGATTGTCCTGCACTTTGCGTGTAAAGGTATCTTTCTGAAAATGATGGAGTCCTTGATACTAAAAGTCCAACACATACAAAAATGCCTGCAGGAACCAGTCAATATATTCTTGGATTAAATCTACACGACTCAAGAGAAAAAGACCTGGACAGCTGAAAAAGAAAAACCGCTCTGTGTTCCAAATACATAGAAGTCCATTCTTGTCCTGTTGAGACTCTAAGTCAACTCTGTAAGGATACCCGTCAAAAAAAAAAAAAAAAAAATGGCTCCACAGTGGAAAAATAAGTGAATAGCTTTGGTATTTCTACAATTTTATTTTTTCGGTGGTTAGTGTGAATGGATTAAAAAATACTGATAAAAACAAATAAATAAAAGGCATGAGAAAGGGGCCCCTTGCCAGACTAGTCACCCACAGAGCCATGGCCAAGACTTTCCTCGAAGAGTGTGTATAATTCTGTGTAACCCACAGACAGGTCCTGGCCTGCTCCCCCGCCACGGATGTTTATCTCTATATAAACAACCGTTTTCTGGGGCTGGGATAAGATTGCCTTGCCAGACTCTTTATCTTTTAACAATTTTTATATACAACTGGAAAGGACAGCTAAGTGCTCAGTTTTGAGGTCCCACAAGCACCTGTTGTGAAGGTAACCACACCAGTGTGTGGCTGGGGGTCCCATGGCCAGGTTGAAAGGTCACCCTCAAGGTAACTCTTCTTTTAAGTGAGCCCTGGTCAAACGTAAAGCTGTCTCCCTGGGTGGAAGTTTGGAAACTGTAGCTCGTGCTCAAGGATTCACACGTGTGCGGAGCTGCAGTGTGGCCCACACAGCCCTTCAGAGGGGCAATACCAAGACTCTGAAAGTATTTTCACAATAATAGAAGCTATGGGCCTCCCTTCACTCCTACTCTGGGGCATTTCCAAGAGGTCACCAGGCCCTGTGGTGGGGAGGACATGTCAGAAAACAGAAGTAAGACAGGAAACCAGGGTTGTGTCCTCAGGCCAAACAACAAGCCGATTTGCTACAATGTAACACGGGGGCATTCCCGCTGCAGACAGCTTTGCTACAATGTAACACAGTGTCACTCCCAGTGCAGACAGCTTTGCTACAATGTAACACAGTGTCACTCCTAGTGCAGACAGCTTTGCTACAATGTAACACGGGGTCATTCTCGCTGCAGACAGCTTTGCTACAATGTAACACGGGGTCATTCCCAGTGCAGACAGCTTTGCTACAATGTAACACGGGGTCATTCCCAGTGCAGACAGCTTTGCTACAATGTAACACGGGGTCATTCCCGCTGCAGACAGCTTGGCTACAATGTAACACAGCATCATTCCTGCTGCAGACAGCTTTGCTACAATGTGACACAATCATTCCCGCTGCAGACAGCTTTGCTACAATGTAACAGTGTCACTCCCAGTGCAGACAGCTTTGCTACAATGTAACAGTGTCACTCCCAGTGCAGACAGCTTTGCTACAATGTAACACGGGGTCATTCCCGCTGCAGACAGCTTTGCTACAATGTAACACAATGTCATCCCCGCTGCAGACAGCTTTGCTACAATGTGACACAATCATTCCCGCTGCAGACAGCTTTGCTACAATGTAACAGTGTCACTCCCAGTGCAGACAGCTTTGCTACAATGTAACAGTGTCACTCCCAGTGCAGACAGCTTTGCTACAATGTAACACGGGGTCATTCCCGCTGCAGACAGCTTTGCTACAATGTAACACGGGGTCATTCCCAGTGCAGACAGCTTTGCTACAATGTAACACGGGGTCATTCCCGCTGCAGACAGCTTGGCTACAATGTAACACAGCATCATTCCTGCTGCAGACAGCTTTGCTACAATGTAACACGGGGTCATTCCCGCTGCAGACAGCTTTGCTACAATGTGACACAATCATTCCCGCTGCAGACAGCTTTGCTACAATGTAACAGTGTCACTCCCAGTGCAGACAGCTTTGCTACAATGTAACAGTGTCACTCCCAGTGCAGACAGCTTTGCTACAATGTAACACGGGGTCATTCCCGCTGCAGACAGCTTTGCTACAATGTAACACAATGTCATCCCCGCTGCAGACAGCTTTGCTACAATGTGACACGGCGGCATGTCCAGTGCATACTTTGTTTCCGAAAAAGCGTTCTTTTCCTCTCAAAATGAAAGGCCCCTGACGCTCCCCCCGCCTGAGCGCTCAGCCCGAGCCGCAGGGCCTTCACTGCGCCCGCAGGTTGCTGGGTGTCAGCGCCCAGCCCGTGATCAGGGCAGAGTCAGGGCAGATTCAGGGCAGATTCAGGGCACGTGTTCACGAGCGGGACGCAGGTCCCCAGCCCCCGCGGGAGGGACCACGCGTCCTGACCGGTAACTACTGAGAAACAAAGTTGTCACTGAACGGAAGTTGGGTCCCTTGCAGACTCCAGGGCTCCCCAGCGCCCCGAAAGCCCCCGCTGGCCCCGGCGTGAGGCCCGTCCTACCCACCCGGCTGGGGAGCAGGCCTCCCGGGCGCCCGGCGGTCACTGCGGGGCCGGGGGACCCGCGCCCACGGCGGGACGGCCGCTGAGGTCTGAGCCGCCGGGCCCCGGACACCACCCCGAGCTGGGGGCTCCCCGGGGCGAGAGCCGTCCCAGGGCGTGCGGGGCGCGGGGGCAACAGGGCGCACGACCCCCAGCCGCGCGCCCGGCCCGGCGGCCCCTTCCCCGCGCGCCCCGGAGTCAAGGTCACGCCGGGGCAGGACCGCGCGCGGGCCGGAGTGGCCGGGCCCGCCCTGCAGCGCCGCCGGCCGGCCCCGCGCTCCCGGCCTCCCCGCGGCCCTGCACTGACCTGGCTCCACGAAGCCCCCGCGACAGCGACGCAGCAGCTGCGTCAACATCACCGCCACGCCCGCCGCGTAGACGCGCAGGGCCGCCAGCACCGCAGACAAAGGCGACATGGCTGCCCCGCCGCCGCTTCCGCGCCGCCCGCCCGGGACTCGGCGCCCCGACCGGCCGAGGACGGAGGAAGCCCGCCCGCGGCCCCGCCCCCGCCGCCCGCGGCCCCGCCCACCGCCTCGAACGCCGCCCCGCCCACCGCCCCGCCCCAACCGCCGCTCCAACCGCGGCCCCGCCCCTGCCCGCGGCCCCGCCCACCGCCCCGCCCCCACAGCCCGCGGCCCCGCCCACCGCCCCAAACACCGCCCCGCCCACCGCCCCGCCCCAACCGCCGCTCCAAACGCGGCCCCGCCCCTGCTCCGCGGCCCCGCCCACCGCTTCGCCCCGCCCACCGCTTCGCCCCGCCCGCCGCCGCCGGCACCGCGGCCCGGGCCACGACCCCGCCTGAACCAGGAGCCGCCCAGCCACCGACCCTCCGCACCGACCCCCACTCGGAACCCCAAACCAGGATCGCGGGGCCGCCCCCAGGACGGACACCCCCGAACCCCCGGCAGGGATTCCCACCGAACCGCAGGACAGCCCACCCCCCCCCACAGAACCCTACCCGGTCTACCCACCCCAACAAGGATTCCCACCCGGACGGCGGGACCGCCCCCTCCTGGGGGGCCCTGCAACTGCCCCCGCACCCCACGCCCTGGACTGCCGGCCAGAGGGCTCCCCGCAACAACCCTCCCACCGCGGGTCCCCGCAGGGACCCCCACCCGGACCAAGGGGCCCCCACCCCCGCTACAGACCCTGCCTGAACCCCATCCCCCGCCACGGGCCCCTCCCCGACGCGTAACCCCACCAGGAACTCGGCCCTGAAACCCACCCGGACCTCAAGGACTCCTCATGGACCACAGACCCCCCCCCCCCCCGGCCCAGACAGGGACCCCAACCCAGATCCTCACGGAGGCTGCAAAGACCCTCACTAGGACTGTTACCGGGAGTAGAGAACCCCCCACTGGATCCTCCTGGACCCCCCCAGGACCCTCCTGGACCCCCAGGACCCTCCTGGACCCCACCCAGACTCCCACAGGGACCCCACAAGGCCCTGGAACAGCAGCCCCCCATCCAGGTCAGGGCTGTGACCCTCTGCCCGCATCTCCCCACACTCTTGCCTGGACACCACCACACCCCTGCTGGGACCACGGACCCCCAACCAGACCCCCAGTCACACCCAACACAGACTCCTACTCAGAACCCCAGGGGACATCTACCAGACCCCCACAGAGACCCTAAGCCTGGCGGACCCCACGAGGACCTCAGGACCCACCAGGAACCTGACCTCCATCCGCACATCCCGTGCGCCCCCAATTCTAATGCCCACGGGACACTGCCCGTACATGCCAGCAGAGACACCCAACCCCTGTCAAGATACAGGACCCAGCTCTCCAGAACCCCCAGGACCCCACACTCCACACCCCTCTAGAACCCTAACCCGCACCCCTTAGGAAGCAAACCCAGCAGGCTGCCCTTAGAGGAAATCCTAGACCAGCACTGGGGGCCGCCCAGGCAGGCCACTGAGGCCACTGGGTGCACCCCCAGGCTGGCTTAGGGAAGAGCCTCTGGCCTTGCAACCCTCGGTCCTACAGATGAGACATCGGAGGCCAGGAAGCCCGCCCACGATCCCCGGAACACCAGGGGATCAGGGCGCTCCCGGCCGGGCACGCAGGTGCACCATACATGCCCGGTGCGCCCAGCAAGGAGCACCTGGGACGATCACCGTAGCCCCAACCCTCAAGGTTCCCCACAAGATGCCCCAGTGTGTCAGATGTGAAGCTGTCACCCCCGGGTCAAAATCAGAAGGACCTAGAACCAGTCAGGCACCTGTTCTTCCCTCCCCCACCTGTCCTGCCCTCCCCCACCTGTCCTGTCCTGCCCCACCTGTGCTTCCCTCCCCGGTGGGAGAGGAGGAACAACTGGTTGTCCTGAAGGAAAGACGGGTTGTCAGGCTTGTTATGCGTGGGGGCCTCGAGATGTCCGTTAACATCTAGGGGTGAGACTGGAGACCCATCCTCTCCTCCGGTCCCCATCTCCCCCAAGTGTATTTTAATGGGGTTTCTCAAGTTGTGAATTGGGGGCCGAGAACTGAGGACTGGGGTAACCCCAGCCGTGGCTGGAAGGACCCCCTCACCCAGGGCTCTTTCCTCCTCAGTAAAATTCAATGCGTCACTCCCTACGCCTCCGGTTGGGTCACACCTGTGATAAATCACCCCAAAGGAGCAGCTCCCAACACCCCCAGGCGGAATCTCACGGCGGTGTCTGAGACCCTCCAGCTGTGGGACCCACCAGGTCTGCTGCTCAAGGTCCCCCAAGGTCGACAGGAGCTGCCCCACCAGGCCAGTGGGGTGGATGGGGAAGGGCCTGCTTCTCAGCTCACTCCGGGGGGCAACAGAACCCGGTGCCTCGGGGGTGTAGGGTGGGCATATTCTCTCCCCGCTGGCTGGGAGCAGGGCCAGGCCTTCCCGCCGGCTCTCCCTCTGTCCGGGCAGGTGCACCCTGAATCTCACACTTAGCATCTGCTCACCTGCCCTTTCTGCTGTCTCTCACCCCAGCCAGACCAAACTCTGCTTGGGAGGGTTCCTGAGAGTCAAACAGACACCCGGGTTCACCCGGATCACCTCCCTCTTTTAAGGGGCACACCTTCGTCACACCCGCAAAGACCCGTGTGCCCTGGAAAGTTCCGAAGTCTCGGGGTCCAGAGGGATGTGGGTGCGGAGCTACCACAATTTTCCAGCTTCCTGTTTCTTCAAGGATTTAATGGGTGCAGCCCTGAACGTAGGTTCAGGTGGACAAGAGGAGGCGGGAACCACCCCAGGGGGGCAGGGCATCCTTCCTGGAAAAGGGGGTTCAGCAGAATAGACGTCTTAGTACAGACCCAGCGGAGTGTGAGAGCAGCCATCTGGTTGACCCAGAGCCAGCATCACCCTCTGCCGAGGGTAAGGACTTGTGCTAACTGTAGGCTCATGACAATGCTTTTAGTTCATTTCTTTTCAAATAAGGAGGTGGGGAATATCATGAATATAGATAATGATGTGGCCTACAAAAAAGTGTTTTAACCGGCACTTGTAAAATATAAGTCTAATGATTCCTTAATGGAAGAGGCGAGACCACAGAGTGGCCTGGAGGGTAGGTGCGGAAGCATCGAGGGGGGGTCGTCAGTATCCACGGGCCTTCTGGTCCCAAAAGAAGGCGTCAGTGTCCCTGGCCAGAGCACCTAAACCCAGCTTGGTGAGATGGACCTTATTGGGGGACCTTTTTTTAGGTAAGAACCAACTTTATGGTCAAATCAACCTCCCCACGCCAAACCCTGAGAATTCAGAGCCGCCCCCCACATGGGTCTCCTTGAAATCAGGAAGTCTGGAAGCAACTTTCTGGCCATCGTGAGGCACATGCGCCACCGGGGGGCTCTGATCCATCCCTCTCCTGTCCCTGAAACTAACACGCGTAGGCCGGAGTAGACTCCCAGTGAATGACGGTGAATTTCACGAACACCATGTGGGCTGTTGTATTTCACTGCGACGCACTGGTTGGTCTTATACCTGTGACCCAGGTTGCTACAGAGGAGTATTTTAAATCTTTGCATTGACTTCCCGAAAGTAACCAGGCCCCTGCCTGGGCTCCACAGTGACCCAGACTGAGCTCCTCGAGCAAGATGAGTCTTGCAAAGGTGTGGTCCGTGCATGAGTGGGGGGGCAGACTCACAGAAGGGACTGTGTCTCCTGAGCCATGTTGAACTGAATGGTTCACCGTCCAGCTCCCGTGGGACCCCTCCCACCTTTTGGGTGCCTGAGAATATCTCTGAACCTCACCACCCAGCACCCCTGTCTTGCGTGGAGTCCGAAGAAAATGGACGAGCCGTCGTGATTTTGCGTGGGTCTGAGTACGCGTCTCACAGGGTGTTCTCAACCCAGTGTGAGCGTCTCTGGCCCTCCAGGCTCCTCCTGCCCAGAAACTAATTATCTGGGCAACAGTCAGATGGTAACATTCTGTAGCACCCGCCTGGGGTACCTCTGTGCTCAGACTGGGACGTGCAAGAGGTGTCCACCTGCAGCGACATGTATGTGTAGCTTGAATGGGTGACAATGGCTTGGCTTTGCAGAGTCGGGTTGAAGGTTTTGTTATCTGTTCGAGATTGTCTACTCCCACAGTTGCCTCTTGGTGTTCTAAGGGTATCGTCCACGTCCAGTTGCTTTCTCCCTTTTTGTGGGCGCTCGGTGGCTGCTTGGGTCTGTCTCTCCTGCTGTGGTCCTCATCAGCGTGAGCACACAGATTGAATCGTGCAACCGGAGGGGGTCTGGAAGCTGCAGAGGCTGCACCGGACGTTGGACATGAGGGTGCTTTTGGGGACGTGGGAGCGGGTGTGTGTCCGAGGAGTCAGCGGTGGGGGAGGAGGGGTGCGAGGCTGTGTTTGAAATTCACTTGCAAACCTGACCATCGGTTTTATTTTCGGCCACAGTGATGAGCAGTGAGAGGGAGCTGGAGTCCTCCTGCCTCGCCGGGTATCGACTCTGTGTTGGTTTTGTTTTTGTGTTTGTTTGTTTTTTTCTTTCTCCAAAGTGGGCTGTTTTGTGAGATCCCGGGGCCGTCCTGGTGGTCTCTGCAGACCCCACGTAAGAGAACCCTTTCGGTGAACTCTGTCCGGTGACATTTATAAGTGACAATGACTTTGCATCGGAGTTTGAGTCTCTGTGGCTCTCGGCACAGGGTTTCGGGTTAAGCCTTGGAGCAGGTGGGCTGCTTTGATGGGGAAGAGTCTGCGGAGGGCCGACGTCAGGGGCTTCTGCATCTCTCGGCCCCGGTGCACAGCTTGGGTTCCTCATCCGTGCTCCGTGGTGCTCACCTGAGTTGTGACGCACACGGAGGCCGGCTGTCAGCCTCCGGGGCATGGCCACCCCGGGAGGCGTCCCGGCTGGGAGTCCCCCATGGATCCCTAGAAAACCAGGTGCCCATCCTGCTCTGTGACAGAACCAGGTGATACCAGCCTTCATTTCCCCCACGTATTCCCGGGGACCATCCGTAGC